TTTCAAATAATTGGCATATTAAAGGAGACTACATTAATTTGATTCTGTGCAGACCGCTCTCAAATATAATGAACTGACCAAATAATAGCGTCACAAGAAAGGAGGACTGGTAAGTTATGAGGGAGTTAACTATCTCACCTGTTAGTGCTTGAGCCATCATGTTTGACGTTCGAGTTTCAGTGAACCCCAGTACACGGACCCGGTTAATGATATCACACTTCAGGTCATCTCATCGTCAAGTCCAAGTAGCTTTGATAGGTTTCTCTGGCCACGATCTGCGCACTGCTCGTCGCCCGTAATGGGTCTTAGATATCACACCACATGTGTGTGACAAGTGAACGTGAAAGGTCACAGACGTCCTTTTCAGAACTCCCAGGTGCTGACTGGCCATCCTCCGACCTACCATTTCCCCCCACGCCACTTAAGGGCTTCTGTGCTCAATACGCTTCCTGCCCACAAACAGCCTTCTTCTCAGCATGCATAACAATTTGTGCCTTTGTAGCATGAAAATATGATCTTGCCCGTGCTGGAGCAAAGAAGCTCACCACGAAGGAGACAAAACACAAACATCACGGATGGGTATTTTGGAGATTACAACTGCCTCGACCACGGACAGCGAGAGATTCGGGAACGACTGTACACCAGCCAATGTAAATAGAGGCCTAAAAGACTTTTTGATTTCCCTTTAAGAAACAAGCGGAGGTGGATGCTATTTAACAACCCCTGACTCTCCATACCGGTTAAACTGGAGGCCTGTGGTAGCCTTCAAATAATAGGGAAATAAATTACCAAATTGCGGATAAAATATATGTGGGGATTTCCGAAAATTATTCACTGTCCATTACTTGTCCCCGCTTAGCGGGCATGACCAACTCACGTGCTAAAAGTCCCATTTATCTTGCTTGAGAACTGACCTTTAAGGGGAGTCTGTACTGGAGCCCAGAGACCAGAAGTATTAACAGACACCAACAACTGGCTTTCCCAATCGGACGCGACTGAAGGTAGTATTTGGTGATAAACTACTTCCCTACCAATTGGTTACCCCTGTGCGATAGCTGGTGAGAGCCTGAACTCGAAGGTCTGGGAGAGGTGGAGCAAATCGGCATAGTTGTTCCACCAATCTAGCTCAACCAACCATGCGTCCACCTACCAGTTCCTCAAAATTCCATTTTCAAACCAATGTGGTTGCTCGATCTGTGCACAAAATTGGGGCATGTTAGATGGCACATAGCAGTGGCACGTTCAATATACTTACCGCAGAAATAGCGCAGACTTAAAGTGTTTCGTTCAATAAGTGTTTAAATTATCCATTGATAGAAGTAGATGGTGTTCTGCTATTATTGACCATGAGTAAACTGGCGCTACTTTCGTATAAGAAGTAGTTTGGGCATAGTTCCAGAATAAGTTCCGGGAAATATCTAAGCACATATTTTGCTCAACTTTCTGTCGTTGTAAATGCCTAGTCGTCAACAGCAGCAGAAAATTTATAAGACACCGTTCTGAGAGTTGAACTGATGTCTGCATTTAGAGTGTGGCTAAAATACTTCTTTCGCGGGTATACCACTATCAAATTACCCTTCATAAATTCTTCTCTGGTATTCAGCGCAGTTGCAGTGTGTCCTCGGTCGGTGATGTCAAGCAAATCGACGGTAAGAACAATAATCCAAAAGTCTCGCGATTACTTTACAGCATAGGAAATTCTGGGGATTACAAAAAGAAAAGTTGTAACCAGCATTAAATGCGCATTCAAATGGAAATGAAAGAAACTCGGAAGTTTCCAAAATGATAGACACTGTCAGCGTTAATTCGTCTCGATGGGTGGAATAGATATATGCCGTTGACAACGAAACCTGAGGACGCTTCAATGGCCATCCTCGACCTAGTAGCCTTCATTAACCGGATGTGCCACGACCCCAAAGCTGGGCAACCTGAGGTTTGAACCCAAGTCTGGTCCAATCTTTATCCAACCGAGCTGACGCCTTGCATTCTGTCAGCTGCGATTAGCTCTGCCCTCCTTCACGTGAATGTGGCGTTCGTCGATATGTCCTTCTAGCAAGATGGCCACAGAGAACGGACCCATTAAGTCGAAGCTCTCGCGCGTCTCCCTATATATCGGACCTCCACTTGGACATTTATGGGTTCAAGAGGTCAAGCTATACGAGCATTTAATCTGAATAACGGCAGAGGCCTAAAACGCGGCCCTATCTGGTAAACCGGAGAACCCTAAACTCTAACCATAAATAAAAACCCTAAACTTAACCCCAAACCCTAACTCTAGATCCTAACCCTAGACATCAACTTTAAATCCTTAGCCTAAGTCTACGGTAATAAAAGAAGATCATATGGGGTTCATAAAATTAAGCAGTGGATTTGAGCATTATTGTTAACTTTTTAAGTCATGTCGTTTTATGAATGGCCATTTCACGGTATAAAAAAATCTCACAATTAGAAACTTGTTGAAACCGAATTACACTCCTCCTTCGAGTACGAAATTGAAAGAAGACGTTATTTTCTACCGAATGCACAAAAGAATGAATATTTTTATGCATTTTTTCATGAAATGTAAGGGCATCGAAAATCAGTGAGAAAATTGCATGCTATATATGTAGTCATTTTTTGCAGAATATAGATCTTGCATGCAGTCGGAAATAAGTTCGTTCGAAATAAGGGAGCCTGAGGTAAATGCATCATTATAGAATTACGCTGGACGATTATTATTTTTACAACCGTACTAAACTAATCTTTTTGAAACGAGAACGCATTTCGACATTTCGACCGACATTTCATGATATAGCCCACCTACTGTATAAACCATTAGATATTAGTTAATATTCGTTAAAATCAAATGGGTAAACCAACTGAATTAGCATAGACTGGTAATAAAAAGTTTATTACCTTCAGAAATCTGCGAACCAGGGAGAAATCCGCGACACGTATTTAGATATGTCGCAAGTAAAATCCGTTGGAGACCAAAACCCCAGACTAATCTACTGTCCCAGTGATCGCGCGTTCATCTTCTTTGCATTTTGACTCTGTTGTCGGGGCGTACTACTATTACATACAGAGCACGTGCATTCTGTTGGAATTAAGGTCGCAGACACCTATATAACAGCAATCTGAAGCAGGCAGCTTAGAAGAGACAGAAACATGCTCATAAACCAGATCACCACCGTCCTGCTTTTCGCCTCTGCTCATCAGCATTCTGCCGGTACGTTGACGACGGATTTCACTACGGATATCTCCCCACATGCTTCTGCTAGTATGCCCTTTCTCGCATGACCTTGAGAATACATTCTACGTGATAGTTAATATCAGTCTTTTATTTAGATGATATTTTCATGACTGAAGGTCCGGCCTGCAGCAAAACCATCTCTCTGCCCTGTTGCGACGAGTTAGTTTGCGACTGGAAGGCAAAATGTAACGCTAAGTGTGTAGCCTGTCTCGACGAAGACGCCACTGTACAAGGGATTCCATGTGCTGCAGTAGACGCTGTCATCGGTTGAAATGTGCCACAAAGAAAACTTCCACGACAGCCAACTGAAACAGACAAATTGCTAGAAGCTAACACTTTCGAATGGAAATTAGTCTGAAATATATGCGTTTTGTGCACCATGTATTGCATTCGTCACTTCCTTCAAACATCTACCAGAACAGACAGATGCGAGGAGTGCGGCAGTAATGGTTGCCGCAAAGCCAAACCTCCCAAGTCCGGACACTCAAATGGCAATGCTTTTCTCACAGTTCTATCAGAAACCGTCGTCAGTCAGCTTTACCAATGCCAGGCTTGGAGACACCAGTAGTTCGAACCATTTCTTTGGTCAGGGAACGGCATTCAGTCCTACGCTGTATCATTGAGCCAAGGACCTCCTGTCCTTCTCGTTGTGATCGAGAGTAGTAAGCATGAGGAAAGAGCGTTCACCGATCAGGTTGCAGGATATTCACTTTTCGCTGAGTTTTAGGACCTGAGCATAAGTGCTCCGACCACCGTATACTGCGCTCTCCATGTCGCTCGGCGCGACTATTTCCTGTCCAGTTCAACGTTAGCCTGATGGGCAATAGGGCGCTGCTATAATCATTCGCCATTTATTACTTCAACGTCGTCTGCAGTTAAGGCATCCTCCAGGTGGTTCGGAAAACAATCAGTGTAAGAGTGAGGATTTGGCCTCCAAGGAAGTGCTTTTGAACATGCGCACGCGTACGTTGTTAAGTCTCTCCACACCTTACATCTGTTATATTGGTACCGTAGTCAGAAAAGGCAAAATACGAAGGGTGAACCGAAAAAATTCACACAGAGCTACCTACCTCAAAACTACCTGTTACGAATAAAGTTTAGTGGCTGTGTGTGTGCGCACGTAGAAGATTTCGCGCAGATAGATGCGGGGTTGCAAATAATCGGACGAAAGCGTTCTTGCTAAAGACTCAAAACCCATCGCGTGGCCAAAGAGGCTGCATGGTACACAAGGTTCCTAAGGAAACGGTTCTGACTCCATCAGGGAAGGACAACGTTCCTTCTACCTTCTGAACAAATAAGCTTATCGACGTCCAACAAACACAGGGTTGTATTCCAAGAAACCACTTTAATCAGCGCTGCGACTACGTACTACTGCCGCTTTGCCGCCAATTTCGCCAGCTATCGATAACGGATGATAAGGTGCCCGGAAAAGGTTGTCGTTTGGGTGGTGGGGAAGTACTAACGTCGGAAGACGATCCCATTTGGCTAGTTGAATTCGAACTGGTGATGACATGACTTAGGACACAAAAAGCAGGGATGCGTCTGACTGATTCACGGGATCGAGGAGAGGAAATGTCATGCGGTCTCGGATGAGCATCTGACCATTATCATCAGCACGCGGCGACAGACCTAACAGTCCTTACCCTTTGAACTCTGTCGGTAGGTCGTACTATCGTCACAAGCAACGTCAGTGCACTCTGGTGCAAAAGAGGTCACAGGAGACATATATAAGAGCTTCCAGAAACAGGCAGTTCCATGAATCGCAAACATGCATATTCACGTGATCACCGCCATCGTGCTTCTCGCATGTGCTAGTCTAAATTCTGCCGGTACGTTTACGAATGACTGCCCTGTCTTAGATATTATGACCCTTCCTGATTAACTGATCGTACTTTATCCTAGTGACTAACGCAATTCACTTCTGTTTCTTATCTAGAGGAGAACTGCAAGAAAGAGGGTGAACCCTGCGACAAAACCGTCTTTAACCGATGTTGTGACAATCTCGTTTGTGATTGGCAATCAATAGGCAATGGCAAGTGCGTCAAGTGCCTCGACGAAGGACGCCTCTGCGCGAAGGATGAAGAGTGTTGCAGCGGGCGCTGCCATTTGCTCAAATGTGTTGCCAAGGAAGATTCGTCGACAACCTCATCGCACTCAACGACCCCATCGCACTCGACGACCCCATCGCACCCGACGACCCCATCGCACTCGACAACCCCATCGCACTCGACGACCCCATAGTAGCCAACATTTCCAAATACGAATGTGTTAAAATATTGCAGTCCTATACTCCACGAATTGTTTTTGTCGCGCTTTCCAAACTTTCATCCGGGATGGCAGACATCATTGTGTTCATTACGTAAAAATTCATAAGTTCTAAGTGCCACATTTAAGGGATATTTGCGGTGACCTTTCGAGGGCCTCTTACCTGCGATAATTTGTACGAACGACAATGCCGCGAATTTGACCAAGTAATGAGGAATGGTTATACTGAGAGTTTGTGAGTGCTCACTGACGAGGTATCGAAGAGCAAAAAAAGGATATTACTACTTGGCCGATGTAGGCGACGACGGGGTTGCTATTTATAGAAGCGGCAGCAGGATTTTCTGTAACTAACTTGCGCTCATGCTCCCGGCAGTATCGTTATTGGTAGTAAGTAGTAACAGCGGTTTTTAGTGTTGTAAACAGCATCTTTTATCCATGCAAAGGAGATGAACGCGCGACCATCGGGACTGTGCAAGTAATAACCTGAGCTTGCGGTCTCATACAGGAGACCATCATTAGAGACGATGAGAATGCAGCATCGATTGAGCAGTCTTTGTAATTGATCAAAAAGAGGGGCTTTTCCTGCTTATTCATGATAATAGTGATGGCATTTGAAGACGACAGTAATAATGGGAATTGTCCCGGTAATGGCGCTAACGTAAAAATGTGTACCGGCACCCGGTCCTGTGTTCTTGGTTCATAACGGAGTTTGGAGGTCCGTGGCCTGTAACAGACAAACTGAATCTGTACTGAGATAGCATGATTTAACATACTTGACAGCATAGGTACTAGTTAAAAGTTCAGACATGTGTTTCGCCAATATTCCGCCGCTACATGACATATCTGCGATGGGGTTCGGCTCATCAGTGGGTCCCCTAGCAGTCTATGTGTGCAGCTTCTTACTTTTCTCAGACATTAATCACCAATTTAGAGTTAATCAGTCCTCTTGAGACTTGTTGACTCCGACTGAATTCTGATACGAATATCTGGGCAGAAGTCCATCAGTCACTGCGGAATCCCCGCGAATTGCTTTTGTCGCACTTTCCAAACTTTCGTCCGGAATGGCTTGCATCAGAGTGTTAATTACGTAAAAATTCTTTAGTTCTAACAGTCACAGTGAAGGGATTTTTCCGGTGACCTTTCGAGGGCCTCTTACCTGTGATAATTTGTACGACCGACAATGCTGCGAATTTGACCAAGCGATGAGTGCGCACAGGCCATATATCGAAGAGAAACAAAGGATATTACTACTTGGCCGCTGTGGACGACGATGGGATAGCGATTTGAAGAAGCGGCAACGGTATTTTCTGTAATTAGCATCATTCTAATGGTGCAGAGTCGCGCTCATGTTGGAAAATTTTGCTATGACCGAGCTCGTGGTAGTATCGTTATAGGTAGTAAGTAGTAACAGTGGTTTTTAATGTTTTAACAACATCTTTTATCCATGCCAAGGGCATGAACGTGCGATCATCGGGACAGTGCACGTATTAACCTGAGCTTTCGGTCTCATACAGGAGACCATCCTCAGGGACTGTGAGAATACAACATCGATTAAGTAGTCTCTGTAATTGATCAAAAAGAGGGGATTCCGGACCTATTCATCAGTATACTGATGGCATTGGAAGACGGTAGTAATAATGGAAATTGTACCAGTAGTGGCGCCAACGTACAAATGTGTTTTGGCACGCGGTCATATATCCATTGTTCATAATGAAGTTTGAAGTTCCGTGGTCTGAAACAGACAAAATGTATATGTACAGAGATAGAACGATATACCATCCTTGACAGCAGAGGAACTACCTCAAAGCCCAGACATGTGTTTCGCCGATATTCCGCCGCTACATGACAAGGCTGCAATGGGGTTCGGCTCATCAGTGGGTCCCTCAGCAGTGTATATGTGCAGCTTCTTACTTTTCTCAGAAATTAATCACCAATTTAGAGTTAATCAGTCCTCCTGAGACTTGTTGACTCCGACTGAATTCTGATACGAATATCTGGGCAGAAGTCCATCAGTCACTGCGGAATCCCCGCGTAATATTCTTAAACTGACAAAAGGCAGCCAGTAGTATACACTGAGATAGCACGATATACCATGGTTACGCGTGTTGATAGTACCTGTGCTGCAAAGCATGGTATATCTTACTATCTGCCTGATGGCAGTTTATGAATTAGACGCGATTATTCCGCAGTGGCTGATGAACGCCGCCCCAAATAGTCATATGAGAATCCAGTCTGAGGCCATAAGTCTCAAATGGACTGATCTCCGTGTAAGTAATTAAATTCTGTGGAAATCAAAAAACTGAAAACCGATTTTATTTCCAAGACGGTCTTGAAGAAAGTAACATCCGGCACTGACTGTGTAACCTGTAACTTTCATTTCTTGACCTAAGTCTGTATACGATCGATTTACACATGGAATGCAGTATTTTCCTGCGCAGGACAGAAGTCTTTTGCGCGAGTGCCCAATTGTTTTCAGGTAAATCCGGATTGCCGCCAGAAAAAAAACATTACTTCTCTTTCCAGGCTTATAGTGGAAACGGACAGCGGAGTAGTTCGCATTTTAATGCCAAAGTCGATTCCTTCGTCAATGTGGCCCGCAGTTTAAAGTCAAAATTCGAAACTGTAGATGCCCTTTAGGGCGAAATACTTGCTATGGCCAGCAGTTGCTCCATAGATCTCTGTAGATCATGTAAATTTCAATCATATATTTACAAACACGGTGAATTACTTAGTTAGAAAACTCCAGCGTGATGTCAAGACGTGTGGTTGCATTGTCTGACGACATCAAATTGGCCAGGAACGCTCATCAAGTCTCTTTGCCTTTGTTGGTAAATCTTCTGAAATATTTATCCATTCTCCGGTGCCACAAGATCTTCCACTCGTAGCATTAATGAAAGAGTCAACTGGGTCACAATTATTCAGCGTTTGGCTTGTTACTACATCCTTCATTTTCCTTAAAAGAAGAAACTTTTACCGATCCCAGATATGACCAAAAAATGTCCGCCCAACTGCAATAATTCAATGATTTCTGTTTGTCTATGATGGGTGGTCCGGTTAATGGTAACAGATCATACGATTTGAGAGCTTCTAAGTTTAACGTGTTTGTTTGTGTAATCTCCACTCTCATCTTCTTGCGCTCCGAATTCCGCACGAACAATTGCCTCTCCTGGCCAACAGCCTGAATTCTTCGACTAGAGGCGCCGTAAAAAGTGAGGTATGGGGATAAGCGGGTCAGTGGTAGCAGTTGCAAAGAAGGAATTCGTACACGCATAAATTACGTCTAACAGAAGAAGACTCGATCGCGGAAGTACTCATCTATTCGTTCGGCATTCCGAAACCACGCTCGAACACACTTTGAGAAATGACCACATAATGCAAATCCGAAATATCAGGCGCACGAAAGTCCCCTTCCAGTGACTGAGCCCCCCTTTTTTAACTGGCTTCTGGAACTCACGCTGCATTGACAAACAATGCCTGCACGTCTAGAGAGCAAATGGGAATCTCCTTCTACAGTTTCTCTCTCATTTGCTAAAGTGTGCACTAGGAGGCTACGACAGCAGTAACATACATTTTTGGCTAATGTTTCACTCCAGCTCGACCCATTGAGGACTGAAGCACTTCCTTGCCACAAAAGCTTGGCAAAACGGGACTGAACTGATTAGAATGTTCCGCGGAATGTTGATACCGGAATTCACAGTCATCGCGTTCGAAACTGACATTTTGTCCAGTGGTCAGGCCCCAATTTTCCTCGAGATGACATTATACCCGCAGTCACGTGTTTGTTCTTAAAAGAAATAATTCGAAACTACCGTGCTTAAGCACACTAACGTGACAAAACTTCGCAAACAGACAGTAACTGCGCAAAACTCAGAGACTGAACCTTATGTTACATCACGTGACCCAGGCAGATGCCTTGGATTTACACTACTCGACTAAAGTGTTTATCAGAATATTGTCCAGAAGTCAGTGGGGTATCAGCAGTTAAACTGCCACTGAGTGATCTCGCATCTCAACTAATGCAAAATAAAGAATTTTGTCTATTCAAGTTCAAACCACTTCTGCCCCTTGCGTTGCCGCCATTTTCAGTAAACATTGTGTGTTATGGAATGGCCAGGCATTACGCTATAAACGGTGAAACTGATGTTTTCCAAAAGCACCTGCGCCCAGGGCCATTTATCACATTTTATACATTTGTTCCAATGCTGTTTATGCATTGGGCAGCGAAGATAGTCACTTCCGCGATTTGCATATCAACCATTTCATGTGCAGTCTGCGGCTTCTAGGCCGCAGATAACGATCCCGATGACAGACGATTGTATTGTCTGCGGTGCCTAGGGACTCTTCCCCGTCCTGTGCACCTGTTGACATGGAGAAACTCAACCCCAACCGAAAGCGTTATGTGAAGTCCATCTAACCCTAACATGTGGTTAGTTGACGATGAAGTTTTAAGTAGCAATTCACAGACTAGGCTATTGTGCTAAGTCACTGTAGTACGTTCGCTTGGTGAGAACAGAAGCGACGTTAATCTCGGTCGAGAAGTCAAATAAATCGCAAATCCATCTTAATCCTTCGCTGGCCATTGGTCGCTATAACTGCCATAGTCTGATTCTGTACCCCGTCGATCCTGTTATTTACCTAAAACCCCGTAAACTAATGGCAAAGTATTAATCATGCCTTCGTTAGTGGTCCGACTAAAATGGTCCGCACTGCCTTCATGACGCGGCTTCATTTATTCTCTTCTGTAGCTGTCCATCGATCTCAGCCATACAACTGAACTGCCGACGGCCACAGTGAAGCGTTGGTCGTCTGAACCCGACCTTACTGCTACTAACTTGTATTGACAGTGGGACCGCTACTAATACCATTAGTTACAATTGCCCACCTTTTCCAATACTCGCGTTACCGAGTCAGCATCACCCGTCGAACATCTCCTCGGCCATCAGAGGTGTGGCCTCCGCGTTATTCAAGATAAAGTT